TGTCAGCAGACAGCAAGAAGCCTCCCAGATCTCCAGATGCATTTGAGATATCAAAAAAGTACTCCAGAGTGGTGTTCAGCATGGGGGTGAGTAGAAAATGAAGGCTAATCATGTTTTGGGTGTACTATTCCTTTAAATTAAACTTTGTCTTTTCATATTTCTTTTGCTTTATTGCAGATTATAAATTTTCAGATTCAAATCTTTCAGTTTCTATTTTTATTTTTAGTTTCAAATTCCTTTTCAGTTTTAGGATTTTTTGCTTTTTTAACACTTTCAAATCAGTTTTTTGTCACATTCTGATTTTGACCCCAATCTGACAGGAGTGGGCGGGGAAACATGATTGACAGCTTGCAGGAACAAAGAAAAGAAATAAAAAAGAAAAAGCGTAAATAAAATACTAAACTAAATTTAGATTTATTTCTTATTATTTTAAGTTGCTTTTTTAGTTTCTCACATTATAAGGTAAAAATTTTACATTTGACACCAACTTCTATTTTTTCATTTTCAACTTAGATTTAAAAGTTTACAAACATTTTGACCCCTTTCTGACTCCATAGGTTTCAGATTGATGACTAAAGGCTGTTTCCTTTCTTCCAAACTCTGGAAGGAATTTTCTCATAACAGCCATTAACAAAAAACCACAAACTCTCTTTGCTGATTTTAGCAGTTTGATAGCAGATCTTTCGTTAGGTTTTATGATGTCATGACCCTTAAACCGTGGATTAAATAGTACCGCCATATTTTTTAAAGAAGGATTAAGGTTCTTGTTTCAACTCGTTGGTATGGAGGCACTGTTTATTTTTGTTTGACTTTCTATTGAAGTAATTTTGGTCATTCTAATGTTGACAGTTGAATTCCGCTTTAGTCGAACAGCCTCCACTGAACAGCTCCCACCCCCTTTAAAGTTTCAGAGCTCTCTGTCTTATCTCCGCCATTTCTCCTGCCTGAAACTGTTTGATTTAATCACTGACTTTAAACTTGCCTTAAAACCTTCCAGGTTGTGTTTATGACCAGATTATTTCTGCTTCAACCGTTCAGGTGTCGCAGTACCTCAAATGTATATCATTGAAGACGGACCTTGGGCTCCACTGGCACAATCTGACTGTTTTCCTCAACACGACCCTGTTCCTCAACACCTCTGCAGCCGTGCTCTTCTCCAGCGGCCTTGCCCTAAAGAGATTTCTGCGCAGTCGCAGCGACCCTAAACTCTCGCAGGACTCCAGGCGTGTGGTGTTGAGCGTGACCACCATGGCGCTGGCCTACATGCTCAGCTTCGTCCCTTACCACGTGTTGCGGACCCCGTATACGCTGACCCAGAACGATTTCATCAAGAACTGCAATACCAGAAGACAGCTTTTCCTGGGGAAGGAGTCGACGCTGTTTCTGAGCCTGCTGCATGTCTGCCTCGACCCGTTGCTCTTCTTCAATCTCGATGCTCCGTTCAGAGTACGAGTCAGAAGGCTACTTCCCTGCAGCAGATACCAGGCTGCCATCGCAGAGGAGCAGGTTGTGGAGGAGGAGATATCACAGAATGGCGATGGAAAGCAGGATGCTGCGTACAACAACTCTAAATATGAACAAGAATTGACTTAATCTACACAGTTTCCAGACAAATGAACTGGATACAGTCGGATTTAATTAGCTACAAAATGTAAATAAGATCAGGAATGTACTGTTAATAAACATTATTTGATTTTTTGACGCCATCAATTATGTTGATTCAGGGAACACACCCATTTAATGTCGTTTGGACTCTCTAACCATGGTGCTGCTAAAACCTCTTAACAAATGTTTAAAGGTTTTGTCTTATTGTGATTTTTGGCATTAAGGAAATCATCAACATCTGGAACAGTCTTTAGGTTTTTAGAGCAGAAACCTGTTTTTTGGTGAGGCAGGCAGCAGAGGGCAACGTTGTTTAGGATGTTTCTTAAAGCTAATTTCTTTGTGAAAGAATTATCTTTGAATTCTTGATGGATTTCAAGTTGCAGCCTTTGTTCTATTCAACAGCAGTTTTAGAGAACTTATAAAGTCTTTCTGAGATACAATTAATAAATTAAGGTGAAACAAATAGAGTTAGACAGCGCTTTTTAGGATTTACGAACCCACGATCATTTTAAAAAAGTAGCATAACACTTATTTAATCATTGAAAAAGACATTAGTTCTGAAATTCACTGAAACTGTCATATACTCACTTGAAATAAACTACAGCAAGTTTTATTTAGTTTCCATCTGGTCACATGAAGCCAAGGACAAACCCCAGCCTTCAAATAATGTGCATAAACCCAAGCTTAGTTTTTTATAAAAAAAAAAAAAAAATCTAATCTGAGCACAAAAATGACCTTAACAAGATAATCTGATTAGGTCACTTTAAAATGGTCAATTACATTACATCGGTAAAACCAAGAACTTCAGGAAATCCACAGGAGACACGTGGAGACAATGAAGCTGCTGTGGGAGGATGGCCTCAGTGGAGACACCATGAAACCAGAGCAAAGGTTAAACTGGTGATAATATTACTTTTCATCCAAATAAATGATATAAATAAGGTTTATGGTGACTGTAACACAGCTCAGCATGGCGTAATGATCCAAAACACTAGTGTCATGCTCACTAAAAGCAGCTTAAAGACAACAAGTTAAATGAGGAACATCTGAAGATGGCTCTGAGCCCTGAGCAGATTTCAGATGAGAAACTGATCTGTAGTCAGAGTTGCTTTTATTCATCTCGTAGAAGCTTTCATTGTAAACATTAACAATAGGGAAGTTTGAAAATTCAGGAAAAATGGTCCATGAAGTTGACAAACTAAAACAGTGAAACAGCTTAAAGGGGAATTCCGTTTTTTCACATTGGGCCCTTGATTTTAGGTTATTACATCATGTTCTACTCACCCATATGAGTTTTGTGTCATTTGGAGCTGTTCTGAAGATATTCCGTTAGGTCAGGGGTCTTCAACGTTTTCCAGGCCAAGGACCCTAAACTGATGGCGAGATGGAGCAGGGACCCCCTAATTATATATATTGTATGAAACTGTGTTCTATCAAACTGGACCTATAGTCACTCTATCACAGATGGAGTCATGTAAC